TCATACCTGCCAACCCCAAGCTGTATTAACTCTAGTCCGTACATGTCCTGGAGCCTCCCGGTTTCTGAAAAATTCAACTACCCACAGCCCTAAAGCCTGCACCCAAAAACCTTATGTAACCCCGAGGCCCCAGACCATGAACCCCAAACGCCTCAACCACTCAGGCAAACAAACATCAGTGTGTACTAAACATTAGGCTGATTTTGCGGGCTTGGAGTAGGGTGTAAGAGAACTTACCAGCAGCACAACGGTCAGGGGCAGATCGAGAGGAGCGCGCATGTTAATCCTAAGTTTACCGGCTCTTCTGCAAGAAGCCGTCTATAAGCGTATAGACCTCTGCCAAGAATATCTCTGAACAATCTCGGAAATCCCGGAACCCACCCCAAAAACCGGCACCCCCCGTCAGTCTTCATCATGCAGGCCCCTTTGACGATGCACACTCTCTGCCAGGCTGCCATCCGCCAACCGGCAACTTTGAAAGCTGGAAGGCTGTGCAGTTTGCAAGTCTGCAGCCTCGGAGGGCAATGCGGTTTATGGGCTCGGAGTCTGGGGGCTTGGGCTTCAAGTCTGAAAATCGTTCTGCTGCATCCTATCTAGCTACCTCCCGATCTATCGCGTTATCTATCGGTCCATCTATCTGTCAACCTGAATCTATCTATCTGTGTGCAAACCTACCGACATATCGATCTATCTCGATCCCTATCTATCCGTCTATCTTTCCTTCTATCGCTCGACCTATCGACCCATCGATCTATTCATCTGGTCAGCTAGCCTTCTACCAGCATGGTATCATCTTGTATCGTCTTGTATATTGATCTGTCTACCTGTCGCTCTACCTATAGCTGCCCAGCGATCCTTCCGTCCGTCCGTCCATCAATCGATCTATCTGCCTGCTTACCAAATATCGCCTGCGTCTACCGCTCCGTGCGTGTGTATCGCTCTGTGGTGGATTTAAGGGTTTTGGGAGGATGCGGTCTTCGGGCCCAAGGACTCCATGATTCCTCGTATTTTGCCTCCAGGCCTGCCGGAGTCTTAGCAGTCTGAAGGGTGCTTAGGGTTGGGGGACCGGGGAGTAGGTTCAGGGTTTAGGAGGCCGGGATCTTCCATATGAAATGCAAGTGGACATATACCGTCAGGCGGACACTGGAATATCATGCAAGGTCCTACTGTTGGAGTTTAGAAGGGGAGGATTCTGTCACCAAGTTCCAGTTGCAATAACAAACTTCGCCCGACTGAGGTGCTTTAGGTCCAGGGCCGGGCCCTAAGAAAAGTGTCCCGTAGTGACTCTACAAAGCGCGTGTGAAGTTTCAAATTATCATGCTTGAAGTGCAAGTATGCATGAGGTAAAACATTTTTTTGATCGGGGCCTGCAATGCACTAGGCCTTGAATCCTCTCAGCCGAGCTATTCAGTCTAACGTACACACCACAACAACCTGGTATTGGGCTTGAGCCCAGTAGCGTGCATAGCAGTCGTCCGAGTCTGCCAGCCGGCGCACTGACCCAGGTCGCAGCTGCAGCCCTTGCTAGCTGAGGTTGGGAGTTTAGGCTTTGTGTTTGAACGGCCCAGGTGGTTTCGACCCACACGCTCGCACCAAGCAGGCATGGCTTCACGGCGTTCGAGCTTGCTACCCTAACAGCTGAGGCGTGTCACTCATACGGAAGCAAGAAGCCCGGTACTCGGGCAGGCTAAGACCCGGTCCTAGGGGCCCATAAGTAAAACGATTAACCCCGGTGGTTTAGGATTTTGAAGTCAAGGGATCATGCTCTCACGGTTTTGAGGGGTGAGGCTGCAGACTTGGTTCGACGAGACCTACACACAAGCACCACTGACACCTCACTGGTCATACTGCTAGCAAGTAAAGCGAGAATGTTGCATTCAGCGATGCTTTACTTGCTCAGTCGGCGGAGGCCATTCGTTGCGTCGGGAGTGTTTGCATCGTCGTCCAGCCCTCAATCCAAAATCCTAAGCAGCAAAACCTAGCGGCCAGCTGGCCTTCCTTCTCATACTATCTTTAAAACCTGCATATGCCGTATACCTAAACTCAAACCTCTGTGTACACAAATGTATATGATGCAGGCATGCATGCCTGCTGCCTCACGTCCCCAAACATCGCCAAGCGACGCCGACCCCGGTGCTGCGCCACACAGCGGCCCGGGGCGCTTCGCAGCCAGGAGTGCAGGGAAGTGCAGCGACCATCGAGGCCTGGGATGAAATTGGAGGGGCTTTCGTCCTTTGCAAGGTGCCTCAGAGAGGGTTTTTGACAGATTAATCGGGCTTTCTGGGGTTTACTAGGTTTTCTTCAGGGGCCTTATCAGCTCGACCGCTTCAACTCGGGTTCCAGACTATACATACATACATACACACACATACTGCATGCATACATGCACTTATGTGCGTAAGGGATAGTTTACTTACTTCGGACTGATAAGAGCTTGGGGTCTGAGACTTCCTTGATGCCTTTGGATTCCAGGGTCTGGGGGCTGGTGTGTTTTGAAGGCTGCAGTTTTTCCCAGTCCTAGTCTCTAGTCTCTGATGTACAATAGAGGGACCTGTGGAGGGGAGTCCCTTTCTTCGTTTCGTGCTGGCCTGAGCTTATGGGCCGCAGGGGCAAAGCGTTCCGACCTGATTCTCGCCAAAGGACTTTGTCGCACGCAGCACAGGTTCTAAAACTCTGAGACTGCTACCAGCCTCCAGATTTTCAGGCTTCCTTTTTCTGGGTTCACTACAGTTCGATGAAAGGGGCGCAAACCCTCGACCCTTCGACCTGAACTTCAGCAAGGTGGCAGCGTGGAGCATGAACCAAGCAATCTGCCGACCTGTTGCAGGGGCGCTCGCCTGGCACCTGACACTTGCTGTTGCAGACAGCCCACTAAGGATTAAGGCTTCCGATGCCAGGTTATGGTCTACGGGTTCTTGCACCTGATGATTTGTTGGAGGTCTGGCTTTAGAGTGTAGGCGTTTGCTCTGCGGTGGGGTCGGGGCGGGGGGCGGGCAGCAGTTCCTGGCGTCATAAGGATAAGACGGATTCAGCCTGACATCAACCCCTAAATACCTGTCTATATCCTTATCTCACAGCACCGGAGCACTGCAGGTGGATTGAAACTTCGACCCAACAGCATTTCATCCCTTCACACAAGACACAGCATCTCAGGCATCAACAATCGAAAAACTAACACTCTAAGCCCTAGCCCTTAAATCCTTCAGCCCACAACCCTTTGCAGCTGATCGAAGGCCTTGCCGTCAACCATAAGCCATGAGCTATACAAATCTGCAGGACTCCTCAGCGAAATCCTAAGAAACAGGATAACACGATTTCAGAGGTAGCGGCCGTCAAATTCTGAGAAACGATCGCTCTGACACTGTTGTGCCTCCTCCCTCTGCTTGCCGAGGAAGTCGGAAGATGCAACTAGAGACGCCTGGATCTAGGGCTAGGGCGCTCTGCGGGGTGCGACCGTGTGCTTTAAGAAGCAGGTGTGCCACTGTGCCACTCCGACTAGATTCCTGAAGTCTTTCGGGCCTTTCGGGCTCAAGGTTCGGGGTACAGGGCCTCATAGGTTCGACCCAAACTTAGCTTGCTGCCTTCGTCGACACTGGAGCTAGGACGGCTCAAGTCTCTCCCAGAAAGCAAAGCCGTGACCTCAAAACTTAGCCCTTTTATTTTGGATTGTAGACTACAAACATGTGACAAACCCTTAGGTCAGTCCAGGAGCTGGGGCCCAAAGGCAGGAAAGCAGTCGGACCCACATCTCATGGCTCTGCCATCGGCAAGTTCGGCGGACTCTACAGGCTCTTAGGGCTTTATACAGGGCTTTGGGGGTCCTTGGGTGTCGAGAAGAGGAAGGCTTGGTGTGCTTCTGTGTCTTCCGTTACCTTGTGGGCGTCCTTGGGCGCAAAACAGAATACAGCCCAAACCCCACGAAGTACGTACAAAATGGAAGGAGGGAAGAGTCGGACACATGTGGGTCTTGGCCTCCGCATCTGTGGGATGTTCTGTACATACATATGTCTATATCTAGCAACCTTCGTTTAATGTCGTTGTTCAGCGTGGTGTACTCTATGCGTATGTGTTGATACTGCTTTCAGCTGCTACATCATACCTGGCCCGACTACCAGCTAATTACTGAGTACTTAGAATTATTCCAAGCTTCGGAGACGTCAGCTACAAGCTGCGAAATCGAGCCAGCCGGTCGGAGCATGGAGTACATGACAATAGACATTACAGGCATACAAGATGTGGGTATTATGTAATCAGGATGCGCAGTGTGCGTATGTTCTACGTACTCGGAAGACATATTGATCTCAACAAAGCATCAGTCCTTGAGCTGCGGGCTTCTCGCCTTTCCACCCTGAACCCTAAACCCTAAACCCTAAACCCTAAACCCTAAACCCTTTTGCCCCCCCCGAAAACCCTAAAGGCCATGAAGCCGCAAACTCTGGATCCCCTAAACCCTGGAACCCGAAGACTCCTTCAAACCCTCACCCAAGGGCTCCAGTTACCTAAATAGTAGGTTACTAACCCTATATTAGGTACCCCAGTAACCTACTATTTCGGTAACTGGAGCCCTAGGGTCAGATAACCTGAGCAAACGGTCGGGAAGGGAGGTCCCAAGCTCTCGAACCCAAGAGTTTACGGTAGCTGTAGTCCCCTGGCATCTTGAACCCGTCCAGCACCAGGTGCAGGTTACGGATTTAGCTGTGTAGGTCACGTCAGCAGCTTTGAAGCTGTGCCACGATCACTCAAGATGTGGTGTGGATCAGATAAGCCGAAGGCTATCAGGCTCCTCTGAGCTACAACTCCTACACGCAAGTTCAAGCTTGACAAGGTTGTGAACATGTGCGAGTAAGTAGGACCACTTTATCTTCCAGCTGGCATGCTGCCAAACCCGGAAGTACATGAATCTGAAACATTGCCCACCAGCAACTTGCCCAATCGCAAGCAGCACCTGAATCCCCGACACCTTGCGCAAGCATGCCCTAAATCTCTTGCAGCCGCGACGCGGTGAAGGAAGGATGCCCTGGCAACGATCAAAACAAAAAAGTTGAAGCAAGATCCTACATAAGAGGTGTCGACACATGGCCTCGTGGCCCTGGGCAATGTTCCGCACATGTGTCGCTAAGGAGGCACTTGCTGCCGTGATGTCAGAACCTGGATGGAAGAGTCATGTAGTCCAACATGTTGATCTAGAGCGGAAGCTGTCCGTTGAAAAAGCTCCCGAAATTGGCCCAAATCTCAGCACGTAAACAGCCCCCACCGGACGCGAGCATCATGAGAGTCAGCTGGGTCAGGGCGGGCGGCATTTTCTGGGGCCGTTTGCCTGCTATAGCCGCATGTTTAGCAAGCTTTCCTGAAGCAGCTTTTAGGAAGCGACATGTCCAACTGGAGCCGGCCAGCATGCACCTAACGTGAAGCTGAAGTAACGCCGTTCTCAGGGAAATCGCGGCTAAGGGCTCTGCTGCAACAAGTGGTAGCCATGACCAGCCTTTAACTTCTTCTCAGTCTTGAGCTGGAAGAATAAGAGTCGCCGCATCGAGCTTCAGCCATCTTCTATATCAAAGTCAGACGAAGACTCGCGATCATCATCCGGAAGACAAGGACAATGTGAAGCAGTGGCACCTACATGCCCAACAGTCTTGATAGGAGGTGTCGGGACTGCAACCTCAGGAAGATGCCAAAGCACCATTAGTCGCAGTCTCACCGCTCCTGCCGGCAGCTGCTGAACTTGTCGCAACCAATCCCACAAAGCCCAATCCAACAAGTAGAAGTTCAAGTCGCTACCAGAATTGCTCAGACAGGGCTCCCCAAGAAAAGCGCATTCTAGCTAGCATCTGGTATGTTCCAATACGCATCGGACGCGGCCTGTGCGCCAGAGAGCAGCGAATGCCCGAGGGACGCCCCGCCTGGCAATCCGTTGACATGTTCGTGGAACGTCATGGCTCATAGAGTCTGTGGATGTCCACGGTGTATTGTTTGGGCTTGGGATGAAAAGCGGCGAAGGACGAGGTCTTCGATTCAGGCTTTACCGAGAAGGGTTCACCTGTTATGCGATTCCACCTTGCTTCAAACCATCTTTCCAGCCATCCTTACATCACCGAGCACAGCCCGAGGAGACCTCAGAGCCAAAACCCGAAACCTCCATCCCCTAAACCCCAAAAACTCTCTACCCCAAAACCTTATACATTACCCCCCCCCCCCCAGTACCTACTATAAAGGGCCCTAGGGGCTCTAGTACCCTAAATAGCAGGTACCTGGGGGGTTAGGGTTAAACCCCGATGAATCGGCCAGGCTGACTAGACCGCTTGCACGTCGAAGCTGGGGCCGAGCCTCGGAAGCCCCGGGCTCTGAATCAAAACAGGGCGCCTGTAAAGGAGTTCATACGGTTTAGGGTTTAGGGTTTAGGGTTTAGGGCTCCTGTAAAGGAGTTCATACGGTTTAGGGTTTAGGGTTTAGGGTTTAGGGCTCCTGTAAAAGGAGTTCATTTTGGGCTCTGTAGGGCGTTCTAGAACAATGGTTGAAAAGAGCTGCAGTGTAACTTGAATTCCAGACTTAGTCTGCGGTTAGTCTTTCGTGCTCGGTAAGAGTCTTCCTGCTGCTCCACGCAATAGGATGTGCAACATACTTGGACCATATGCAGTCTTTAGTGGGTACTCCTACGTACTTCTCTGTGCCGTGACTATGTGCTGACTTTGTGCTTACCCGAAGGTGCTCTACGTTTCGGTGGAGCCAGCATCCCCGACCCCGCCTGGCCAGCTTGGGAGCTTCGGTGCAGCCTGCCCAGCACGTATGTATAGCGCTCACGCAGGCTCAGGGGTTAGGGAAATCCGGCAGAGCTCGGAGTTAGTAAGGCTGTCTTGAATTCCACGCGCGACTATTGGTAGCATTACTGATATCTGCTTCTAGTTCATTTAATTCTACGTGATTGTGGAGACAAGTGGCATGCTGCATGCCAGTTGACGAGGGACGAAGGCTCTAGGCTCACAGTGTGTTTTACGTAGGGGTTGTCTTGTTGTCCACCGAAGACTCAAACCAGACTCACATCCGTGAGCACAGCAGGCCCCAACTTTCGTCAACTTTCAGCCCTGATCCCACATCCCACACAAAGTCACACATGCGTATTTCTGATGAGAGAGGCTCGATGCCCGGACTAACCGCAGAAACAGTTAACGAGACGGGGACAAGTCTGCAGTGGCTTCTCTGGGTTTCTCTTGACGATAAAGGGATGAAGGGTATTAAGGTCGGTATAGCCTCATGCCCTCGTCGCCACTCAGAGCCTTTTCGAATGCCCCGCCCCACTTCCTACCACACCCTAAAACCCTGGACCCCCTAAATCCTTCCTTGATTTTACCCTAAACTTGATAGCAAGATTGCACCGAGCGGCCCCAACCACAAAAGCTTTCTGCCCTAAAAGCATAAGCCCAAGTTCAAGAAAGACACCCCTACCCCTAAATCCCGAAAACTTTGAAGCCCAAGCAGCCCCAACACAAAAAACAAAAATCTCAAAAAAACCTAGCAGACCCACAACAAAAAACAAAAATCCCCCAAACAAAACCTAACAGACCCACACACCCTCGCAGTTTCTCCGGCTGGCCTGCCGGGCTTGGGAGATCGAGACCTCGACCTGCGGGTTCTATGCTTCAGCGCGTAAGGTTAGAGCTCTTCAGGGTTTAGGTTCTTTTCGTTTTAGGGTTATCTCTTGATTGAGGACTTACATTTATCGGTTGATTAGTTGGGGCTTGGAGTTTTGGATTTAGGGCTTTTGGGCTTCGGCGCTCACACAGGGCCAGGGGGGTTTGCGGGGCTGTAGCGTTTAGGATGTTAGGGCTCCGAGCTGCAAGTAGGTTTAGGATTTAGGGGTTTAGGGTCGGTTTAGTTTCACCCTGGAAAATGCGAGGACACTTGGGGCTTTGAGGTTCTAGGCTTATGGGGTTTCGGTTGTTCTTCCCTCTCGCATGGACAGGATCCATGCCACAAGCGAAGTTGGCTAGGACGAGAGTGGAATGCAAAAACATGTTTCTGTATACTGCAACTCGAGAGCCCGCAACTCGTCATCAGACTACGGCAGTCCATGTGCCGGAGGAAACAGGGTGCCAACTACATGAAAAATATCCTTCCCTTGCTAAGATTGCTTTAAAGGTTTAGGGTTTCTTGTTAACACCTGCTTCCGACTGCATGATTGTCCATACTGCCTGAGAGCTCATTGGGCAAGCAGATTTTCCACGCTAGTCGCCTTGCTGTCCTCACGGCCTTTCGATCTCACTTCCATGCGGCCGCTGGGCTTCGGACATGCTCGGCACACCCTCATCATCGCTTCCATCCTTCCGCTTTTTGTTGAGATCTCTCTCGCCATGATGTCCCTGCCATTCGTCCGCGGCGGTGTCCTGCTACATCCGGCACCCCACTTCGACCTGACGTTCGAACTTCCTTCTCCCTCAGCACATCCAACACTTGGGCCCCCCAGCGCTCAACCACATAAGCGTCGCCAAGGGTTCAGGGTTTGGGGTGGTCTAGGGTTTTCAGGTTGATCTGCCTTCTGAAGCCTTAGCGTTTTCGGCTTCGGGTTGGGGTTGGGGTTATTGACTTCGATCTTCGCGCGTGCACATGGCAAATCAAAGCTCACTCTGTGCCCAAGCAATGCACGCACACATAGACCTATGTATGTATATATCCATATATATATATATATATATAGACACACACACTCTCTCACATATATATATATATATATATACACATTCGTACAAGCAGTATCTATCTCACGGAGCTAACGTACTGGTTTTTGTGTTGTGCAATTGACGGCGCCGTGCCTCGGCGTGGCGACATCTGGAGGGGTGCCTGAGATTCATGTTTGGACTCATGTTTACTATTCAGGGTTTCGGTTTGGTAGCATTTAGGGTACATGGTTCGTAACCTACTATATGTTGCTTCTCATATGCTCTGAGTTTGAAACTGTCAGTCTGAACCGCTGGAACCGAGTGTCGAAAGGCTTGAGTATGCCTTGCGGGTGGTCGGAGCGATTTCTGTGGGACCTTGCACTCGAATTTTGTGCCCCAGCGGTTCTCAGAGTATGGGGTTGCTGGGATCAATCCGAAAGGTATTTTCGACTGCTCCTGCAGCATGGCCTGTGTGATCGGGGCTTGAGGGGTCTAGTGTACCTGGATAAAGAATCGGGCCCAGTGCGATTCTGATTTGACTCTTGCTGTCAAGTTCGGAGGCTCGGAATGTGGAGGGGCCTTCCAAACACGGAAGGGCTTCGGGAGCCACGACACAGAAATAGTATCCACTGGGGCCCTAGACTGCACGCCAAGCGACAGGGCGCTGCAGCAACTTCGCTGGGCGGTGTCTCTTTGGCAGCGTCCTTCTCCCGGCTTCGGAACCGAATCCCCATTGTCTGAGTACTTCTCTATATTAGGGTCCCTTTTAGGGCCCCTTTTAGCCCCAAAAAGGGACACTAAAAAAGAGAACTACCCATCTTCAAAACAGGCGAAACCATAAGGCTTTGAGTCGGAGCTCGAGCTAAACCCTGGTCAGGGCTCGGACGGACTGTGCAGGGATTTGGGCTGATCTTCGGCTACGGTTTAGGGTTTAGGGTTTAGGGTTTAGGGTGCTGGATCGCAAGGGAAATCCTAAAACCCCCGGGCCCTGAATGGGCCTCGCCTCGCGGCACTCTGAGAAGGGTCTTTTGCCGGTAATCCGCCGAACCTTGCACTTGCTCTAAAGACCGTTTTTTAGAGCTTGGCTGGGACATGTGGTTTAGAACGCCTCTTTGCATATCCGAGAGCCTGTTTGGAGGAGCGAGAAGAATTCCAGATTCGACCCCTTGACTACCTCCATCCTACAAGGCCTCAGTCCGATGTGCGGGCGCCGTGGGCTGGAACTGTCCGCCAGTAGGCCACCATCATCACGGGGTTGTAAGTTTCCAAAAATCAAACCCTCAACCTTCCTGATCTCACGCGTCGGCTTCCCAAATAAGAACCTAATATCTACCATACAGACCTGAAGCCAAGAACACGAAGAAGCCGGCCGGGCAGCTATGCGCATCATCTTCCCTCCACGTCCCGAGCAGAATAGGCGAGGGAGGGTTTGAGCCGCTGCAGCTGCGCGAGGCACTGAGTCACATGAGGGACTCAAGCCGCAATTGGGATCCTCAATGTAAGGATCCCGAACTTGAAATCCCCATAGTTCCAGAAACCCGCGATATGGTGCCAGCTTGCAAGATGGCGTAGGCTTCGAGGATGAAGCCCGGGGTCGAAACTTGGTCTGAAAGTCGGGGCTCGCACTGGGCCTGTCTCTGCGAGCCGTATTGGTGTTCAAGGGCGCGCAGGTTGAAGCCGCTTCGGGGCCAGGGGTATGGGTCGTTTTGGATAAGGACTTCCCTCCACATGTGGAGTCGGACTCGTCTTTCTTTGCTTCTACCTTCAGCGAGAGCCGAGCGAACTGGATCCAAAAGCTCTGATGTCCTAGCTAGGAGCCCCGACGACCTCAAACCACTGAGGCCCCCATATCGCTGAAACGATCTACACCAGATGACCCACGATGCCCTGCAAAACTCCACAGCCCCGGTTCTCTAGCATTCCAAACTGTGCGAGCCGGCGCTCCGAACAGAAAGCTCAAGCCTCTAAACCCAGAGCCCGTCTTGGCAAGAGCCTGCTAGAACTCTTCGCGCGAAGAACTTCTACCGACGCCATGGCTCTATTTGGGGGTTTCCGAAAATAAGGGACCCTAATATAGCACCCTAAATAGTAGGATCCTTATTCTAAGGACCTCAAAATAAGGTACCCCCTATTTTCGGAAACTCCTATTTGGAAGCGCTTTTTGGGACTCCCAGACTTCACGTACTTTCGGATTCCAAGCTACGAACCATCGCCAATCTCAGCCTAGGATTAGGGGGACCCTTGGGGATATAGACCCAAAGTAGGGTTCAGAAGGGGTACCCTTTAAGGGGTACCCTTAATGATACTACCTAAGATCTGGGCGTACCTTTGGAATCCTTTGGAGCCTTGCTTTCCTGCTTTTTGGCATCGAGGCTAGACAATGTACGAGCAGAAAAGTCTTTATGACAAAGAAACATGTTTAATTGGTATCGAGTGTTCTCTGAAGAAGCCTGCATTCTAAAAATCCTGCTGGGGAGGGTGCCAGCTTGCCAACAGCCCGGTCGCTCCGGCTGATGCCTGCTGCAACCCGACGCGTAGGCTCCATGTGCTCATGGATTAAAATCTTGATTCGGACGCTGGGAACCAGGAGGCGGAGCAGCACAGGAACAGGGCTCCCTAAAGCTGTCGCTTTGGTGGAACTCGTGGGCCGACTTCAGGGAGACTCCTTGCGAATTCTGCGGATTCGCAAAAGTAGCTGCCATGTCCCATGACAGTAGCGCATGAACAGGAAGCCCCGGCTGAATCTTGGCAGTAAGCTGTCTGCCATCCCGCAGACTTACAACCATGCTCGCATCATCACCGGAAAGACCGCCAAATACCGGTGCTGTCAGTCTCAACACCCCCAGAATGGACCTGAAAGTGAAACCCGCGTTGGCCCTAAGCCCCTGCCTTCTCCAGGCCTCAGCAAGGAATGAAGGCTTGAATTTGGCCGGTGGTGGGGAATGTGCACTAGACGTCCATTTAGAACTTTCTAGGACTATGAGTCAGAGCAACTTGCAGATTGGCATGGGATCACAATGGGGTCTGCACTTCGGCCGAAGCCCAACTTCGGGGTTTAGGACTTCGGGACCACCACAACTACGGTGTTGGGGGTGTGGCTTCAACCGAACGTTCAGGGCACCATTTTGATGCTGTTTCAAACACACACCAGTTGGTTCAGGCAGGAGTCCGACGATAGCATCTTCTACGACTAGTCCGATCTCAGAATGCGGCGTCGAGCCAAACCTTCTAGTGTTTTTCGATTCTGAGGACACCTCTCTCAAACTCAAGTTCGGCGGCCAAAGCACTTGATGTTTGGGTTACGCGGAGTCCCTTACTACGAACCTGACATCGCTCTCACACATTGCCAAGAAGGCGGCATTTTGCCCAAAGACCGATGGAAGTCGTCGACGATCTTCTCCATCTGCTGCGCCTGGCGTCAAGCGGACATCGCTTGAGGTTTCAGTATCCAAAAAACAGTGCGAGCAAGCAAGGGTGCTTAAGCAACAATCAAACAAACCCACCAAGTCTGAGCTCTAAAACTTTTCAACCTACATCACCTAACCCCACAACCCGAAAGCTCTGATTGAGCAGACCCGCTGCACATTCACACATGCTTGGCTGCTTGCTCTTTTACAGGGCACTACAGGATCATGGGTTGTGTTGCTGCCTGGTAGTTCAGGCTGAGGCTTGAGGACGATTTCGAAACAAGGAAACAGGGGAACCACGACGAGGGCGTCACCTCCTGAACCCACATGGCGGTACCTAGTGCTACACGGGCTGAGAAGAACTCTGAATCCTATATGACCCCATACAAAGACTAAGACAATGTGTTCCCGGTGAAGGGTAGGCAGTGACACAGTGACACTAACAAGGGGTCTGTGGACTAGAACGTGTTGAACACTGGGACTGCGGTCTGTATAACTTACAGCAGGTCACAAATCAACCCTGACACTCCAAGTTTGCTCTAAGCCCGGAGCTCCAACTCAACCTGAGACTCACAGCCCCAAGTTCTAAACCAGCGATTGCCGCAGACTCAGAGTTCTGATCGGGCCTTTAAAGCCCACTGAGGCCAACACATGCTGACGGAGGCGGACATTGAGCGAGCGGACTGCCTTCTGGAACCCAGGGCCAAGGGGGGGGGGATAAGTTTGGGACAGCGCTACCGTAACGACGTAATACGATTTAGCCACAACAGGATCCGGCAATGGCCCAGGCGACATGCGCACTACTGCCTGTTCTTGCTTGTTCTCGCACTTCTCATAGTAACTACAGTAGGCAGCCCTATCAACACCGCTGTATGCACTCTTCAGCTAGGGCTGTGAAGCCATGCTCGGCCTTAAACTGAAAATTCATCCCTCACTGCTTGGCTCGATGGTTTGCGGGCCGGTTTCACGCTGCCCTTGCCGAAAGCTGATAGCCTAGGCCTTGTGAGCATGAACCTAGGAAAGCCGTACTGTCGAGACCACAGAAACTGAAAAAGTGAGCCATGACACAGTGATGAGTCCCTTGGCACTGGACCTACAAAGAATGAAGGCGTGTTTGAGGTTCAGAACTCACGCTCTTCGGTGTGAACCTCACAGCTTTTTGGTCTGCAGCCTTGCTCCTTCCTGGCACATCCCCTGAGAAACGGCCGGTTGCCGGCAGCTTCCCTGTTCGAGCGGGCAACCAGAAGGCTTAAGGCATTTGGACAGGGACATCTTTGGTCTTTGTCTTTCAGTCGATCTGAAACTTCTGGTTCACCCCCACGCCGATACTATTCAAATGCCGACTGCCTTCGCACTAGACACTAGACTCCTGGAGTCAATCCTACGGGCGCGTGTGACCGGCTATCTCCACCATGTCTGATACTGCGGCCACCAGCCGCCATGCCAAGACCGCATGGCCTCTCGTGGCTTCTTATGGCTCTGTAAAGTAAAGATTGACAGCTGGAGCTTCCACAATCTGTTCAAGTACGAGTTCAGGTGAGAAGGTTCAACAAATTGGGTTTGGGCTCAGCGACTTGTCAAGACATGGGATGTTGGAGAATTGGAATCCTCTCACGAGGTGTGAAGCCCATAGCGCCCACTATACAGTGAAAGACACAGTTTCGACATGGCAACAAGTTCAAGGGCAACTCGCTTGTAACTCCTCTTTATCGGATCGGAAGATACACTCTCGGCTCTAAGATACTTGTACAAGCCTCCTTGACGAACGTACAGGACAGAAGCAGCCGCAAATCCCTCCTTTCAGGTCTCGCCCTGAAGCGCTTGGTAGGGCCTAGTTTCAATCATCCAGTTCATGGCTGACAATTAATGAAACGGCATAGACACAAGATCAAAAACCCGAACCGCCGACAAGCGTATCCGCAAACTGGCATCTTGCGATCATCCCGATGGGGTCCATGACACGTATCCTATATATTTAAGCCTTGAAGCGGGTCCTGTATATATATATATATATATATAGGTACTCTAGGGCCCGAGTATACATTTATATGCTTTGTGGGTACATGACCCTTAGGGTCATGACTCCGCGATGGACAGGCTTGAAACCCTAAACCTCCAAGACTCCAGCAAGAATAGTGTAGGAACCTGATTAAGAAACCCTGGATCTTTATTAGGGTTCTTAATATGGATCCTAATATATTGGGGTTATAGGGCTAGGGTTTCTTAATCAGGTTCCTACATAAGAATTCTGAGAAGCCACGGGAGCAGCGTGAGGTCGGAAATGTCGCGCTGCCTGGAAAATTTCGTCTCCTGACTCCATAGAGCTTCAACGTCCCGGAATTCTGGGTATAACTGCATATGGCATGGGAGCTATGAGCTGAGTCTGCTTGTGGCTGCTTCTCCTGCTTCCGTGATGATCGCAACTGTGTTGTTTGGGCTAGGGTTGACGACTATGCAGCGGATCCAAGAAGGCTCCAAACGGCTTCTGCATGTTCTTGGTAAGGTGGCCTTCAGGCAGACCCCGCAAATCAGTGAAGCACTCCCTCGAACCAGTATGCACGAAGGCTGCAGTCAGCAGCTTTGTCGTCTGACCTCGCAAGACATTACAAGTTCCTCTCAGCACGCCATGTTGACAAGGGACTCGACCTCTGCCCCCTGAGTGCCAACATGAGACCACCATGCAACGCCTATGTCTGTAGTGACTGTAATGCAAACCCTGATTCCCAAGCCCACACACATCAGCCTGTGTCAAGCCCGTACGAAAATTTAACCCTAAACCCTGAACCGTTGAAGACCATCAAACCGAAAATTCTTCAACCATCAAACCCTGAACCCTAAACCCTGAGCATCTACTATGCTCGCTGCTCCTCGGTGGTTTACATCGGGATCATGCCCTGCAAGGACGACCTGAAACTGCAGTCTCGAGGGGCGATCTAGGGTGGGTTTTGCAAAATGCAATGTAACTTGACTGCAGCCACACCCGATCCTTGTGGATCCACACTCCTTCAAGAACACAATCTGTCAGAATTTAGTGTCAGGTACAGAGTTTGGGGAGTATATTGATTTTACATTGTGGAGTTTGTTGGGGTGCTTCGAAGCTCAGGCGTCTTCCAACGAGTTGTGCGACCTCCCAGAAATCCATACCATCGATAGCGATGCCCATGATCAGGTCTCGTCTTGAAGCCCAAGCAGAAGAAATTCATCGACGTCGTAATGTAGGGGCCTTAATAATTGGAACAGGGTTTTGGGGGATCCTGATTAAAATATAATATGCCCCCAAGCCCTATTCTGATTATGAAGGCCCCTATATTATGCTCTCTCAAACTCAACAGGTCTGAATCAGCAATGCCGAAAGCGGGCGAGTACCGTAATCTTGTTGTCCGTTCCCATGCCGCGAAGTTGCTAGTTGGATGATTGGTCTGGGGACAATTGTCCGCCCACGAGCTGCGCTCGCAAACTGATCCTATTTATACGACTGCCAAGGCATTGCCGACCTGCCCTTGACCCTGTGGCTGCGGTTGGGGACACCCGCCTGGAACTCCAAGCACTGCAAATATATCCCGAACCACTGCGGCTACTACAAATACTGCCAGCAACACGATCAACACACCTGGTAAACTAGAGGGGGGCTAAGCGCGAAGCGAAGCCTGGAACAACTTGAACGGAGGTGGTCGCAAACGGTGCTCCCAGAGACATGTTCGCGTGCCACATCTAATCTAGCTGGAAACCTGCACCTTCACAAACCCAACGCCAAAATCCTGAACAGCATAGCAACCGTTTGAACTCAGCGGGTCCACCTTCAGCGCAGTCGGACGCTGCAGCTCGTGAGCTTCCATCCAAGCATCGGACATGATGATTACCTGTCCAGTATTGCTGGCGTAGTAGGTGGTAGTGCTAGTGGTGAGTGGTAGTGGTAGTGGTAGTGGTAGTGGTAGTGGTAGTGGTAGTGGTAGTGGCAGTGGCAGTGGGTGGTAGTGGTATGGTAACGGTAGCGTAGTGGTGGTAGTAGTATAGTAGCAGCAGCAGCAATAGGAGCAGTGGCAGTAGTAGGAGCAGTCGTCGTCGTGGTGGTGGTGGTGGTGGTGGTAGTAGTAGTGGTAGTAGTAGTAGCAGTAGTGTGGGGCATGATGACGTACTTTTTAGGATCACATTCATCTTACTCGGTATGTACAGTACTTTTGTGATGTTTTGGTCCAATACCAATGGATGATGAAGAAGAAGATGATGATGATGACGATGATGATGGGTTTATGCGGCAGGTGGTTGGTAGGGACTACCACTACTTCTGCTGCTAGTAGCGGTAGCAGAAAAAGTAAAAGCAGTAGCAGGGGTGGTAGCAGTAGTAGTAGTAGTAGTAGTAGTAGTAGTGGTGGTAGTAGTAGCAGCAGCAGCAGAAGGATCAGGAGCAAGAGCCGCAACAGTAATGGGAGGCGTCGCCGTCGTCGTCATACGAGCGAGTAACACGGCAGAATAACCACGTTCGCTGCACCTGGTGGGTTTTGCCCTGGCCTCTTTGGACTCAGAACTTTGGCTGGGCAAGACACGCAGCAACATTGGGGCCTACATGCTTTAAAAGGCCCACGGGGTGTGCCTCCCGCAACTGCACTGCTCAGTGTTTCTTCTTCCACCACTCGGGATTACAAACTGGGGAGAACTTTATGGTGTTCGAAGATCCCAATGCTTCACTTTGATCCAATTGCCGAGTCTGCTCGCACAGACTGGAAACAGTTAAGGCAATGGTTGGGTTCAGATTTTTTGCTTTGCAGATGTCCGGCCGCATTTCAGTGCAGATCATTCTTCATGATACAATGGAAACGCAAGCGGTTGTAGAAATTGCCTTCCAGAGCCTCGAGCTTGAACCACTCCGATTGAAGCGAAGCGGCTTCTTGGCTTCGATACTTCATTGCCTGAGTCAGCGGCGAGATGCCAAGCCCTCCGAATGTATCATCCGGCCGATGATCAGGGACCATCTGGTCAGCAATGGAGACCACAGCTTGCAATCCGTCTGCTTCACTTCTGATCCACTCTAACCTTCCACCTGCTCTTCCATGACCACCGTGAAGTCACCGCCATGGCCGAAGCGGCCCTTTAAGATGTTTGCAACGACGAAGGCAGTATCCTCTTCCGCGGCCATGGCCATGGCCGCAGTGGAGGACGCTGTCCTTGTGATGATGTATGGAAAGCCTCGAAACGGCCTCCTGCTGCCTACGAGTGACCGGGTTCCTGCGGAAGAAAGCTTCGCTAAGTTCTCTTTGTTTCATGTTATCCGTAAACCACATCCTCCCTAAACCCTAAAGGCCCTAAACCCTAAACCCTCCCCACCCCCCTGAGATGACTCCTGCGACAGGCCCTGTGGGCGTGCAGGAGCAGATCCTAGAGGAGAGGGCGGGCCTTTCACCAACCCTGGACCCCATAAAATCCCCAAAACAAGAACCTGAGGAGCTACTGTGCATGATGAGAGTGGAGACTTTTGGGGCCTTCAAAACAGGCATCCTCAAGCTTCGAGCTTCTGGGATGCTACAATGCTACAAGTGGGCTACTGTGTAGAGTTCTGGGGCTTGGCTTCTTTATGGTTTCCGCTTTGCATGCCATTAAGGGCTTAAGGTATTATGCCTACAAATTTGTCGGGGAGCTTGAGGGATTTAGGGGGTAACCCATGCGCAAGATGGGTGAAACGCTCCTTGTGCAGTCAGTGCCAGGTCTTAAGTACACGGAGAAACTTCTTCAGGCCCAGAAATGCTCAACACCCATCCATGCCCCAGTGTCATCCTAACCTTTAAGTATCCTGCCTCTGCGCTCGGTTCGATGGAGATGCCCCGCTTGCCGCTCATGGAGCGAATCATGCTGACCAGCTCGTTAACTTCCACAACCTGCACAGGCATTCTTGGCAACGCTGTCCGAGTCTAGAGGCTCGCAGTGCGAGGCCGCTAGGCCCAAGATAGGTCACTGCACATAGCATGTGGGGATGAGCCCGACGAATGAGTGGATAAGGTCTCGTGCGGGAACAAAGGAAGGTGAGAAATGTTGGAGGCGACGGACAGAGTACTACAGAACAACGACGCAAGGACACAACCAAAGAAGTCGCGGATTGATGGTGGCCGAGAACTGCCACCTTGAACCAAAAACGGTCTAAGCTCAAAGGACTTCAGGCTCTTGAGCCTGAATCTTCGAGGCACTTTGATCTCCTGAATTAGTCTGGCTCAAGATGGGTGTTTCCGAAAATAGGGGACCCTAATATAGTACCCTAAATAATAGGATCCTTATTATAAGGACTCCAAAATAAGGTACCCCTAATTTTCGGAAACTCCCAGATGGCTCTTCAACAAAAGTCTGTACTTCTAAGTAGTACCCGCTAAGGCCGAACGAACCATTGAAGCCGGCACCCGGAGCTTGAAGAGAAATCTCAGTTGACACGACACAGCCACAAGCCTAAACATCCGCTCCACATCTTTGACACTCTCAACACGGTAGACCCCGGAAGCAGGATGGGCTTGTAAAACCATCAGCCACAACAGCAGCAACGGCACGACCACCGCCACCACCACTACCATCACCACCACCACCACCACCACCACCACCAAAACAATGGCTGTACGATACTAAGTCTCGCCACATTAAGCAGGCCATGTTGAAGGCGAAGCTCAGGTACCAAAGCTACATCGACATGATGTCGCCACTGGCAGATCGGGCTGGACCAAGCAGTGACACGTGAGCGAGCACGCGTTGTGGGTCCAAGATTCAGGGTTTTGCCACGACATCAGAGGCAACAGGGGTCAGGTAATTGTGTGTAATTCCCACGTTTCAGGTGTGTGGGAGATCATTCCACGGATCCAAGTCCAGCGCCTATGCAGACAAGGGGGCAAGCTGTGGGTGTCATTCAGTGCTGGCTTAGCTTCCTTAAACATGTAAACCAGGAGTCAAAAAAACCACCCTGGTGAACCGGACTCCGTCACAAAGCAGTAGTTCCCAGCTGTTTCACCTTTGAGGCTTGGCCTCTGATACTTGTGCAGGCAGCCCCGTCACAGACTCAAGTCGAGCTCCCAGCTGCTACACTCCAGACCCTAAACCCTAAACCCTAAACTCTAAACCCTAAACCCTAAACCCTAAAACCTGTATGTCTGAAGCCCTGCAAGCACTTTGTCTATGCTTCCCCGAATCTACGCCCATGTCCTTTCTCAGCCTGTCCTGTAAAGCAGGCAGGTCCCCCCCTTTGCCCCAGCAAATGCACGCACCAGCCGCGAAAATCCGAGAGCAGGCTTGCCCAAAGCCCGCAAAAAACCCTAAGCCTCCAAATCCAGGACGCAGAAACTCTATGCCTTCGATGACCCGGGATTTGCAACACCCTAAACCCTAAACCCCCCCGGACTTGGAAAGGGTCCTTGGAGCTGTTTTCTGTGTAGCTTCGGCTCGGAGAGGCCTAAGTTCCCTTTCAGGGTTCGGGGTTTAGGGCTTGGGGTTTAGGGTTTAGGGTTGAGGGTTTGGGGTTTGGGGTTTTGGGTTTGGGGTTTGCAGCATCAGCCGCCATCCACTCATGGCCTTCTTGTAGGCCCCTCCTTTGCGTCCATGAGGTCAACAACTACTCTGCCCCAAACATGCCCAGAGAGCCCCATATCCTTTAATTAAGGCCTATAGCTTAAATCATAATATGAAGTCCCTTATCATTTAAGGTATACTCCTTAATTAAGGGGTATTGGGCTCTCTGGGGAGCTGATATCCTAAACCCTAAACCCTAAACCCTGAAGCCCTGCGCCCTTTTCGAGTCCTCCTTGTATATTCCTTAATTAAGGCTCTCTGGGTGAGCCCTCAATCCCGAGCACTGAAGCCTCGGCCGAAGGTCGAGCTGCGAGTGCCAAAGGAACCCTAAACCCTAAACCAGAATTTCTACTGAAAGGATCATGGGACTTAGTAAGTAGGGTTTAGGGTTTAGGGTTTAGGGTTTAGGGTTTATAACGTTTAGGGTTTAAGGTGTAGGGTTACTTAAAGGATCATGGGAC